TGGATTGCAACTTGAGAAAGACAGAGCACAAGACTGCTATGGAGTGGCACAGCCTCTACGGTGGGACTGAAATTCAGACACACCAGAGCAAGCTATAGCATTTCACCCCAAAGTTTCCTCCTCTGTTAAATTTACCATACTATCTATTTCCTTCAGCTCACTGATGCAGATTCCCAAATCAGCTCTTGAGTGGGAAGACCAGAAAACGTCTAGGTCATGTAGAAAAGAAAGTGCTACTTACATAGTGCCACTCTGTCCAGTGATACCTGTATGGAAAACATTTGCCTGTATGGAATATACTCTTCACAACCACTACAACAAAATCTTTTCTGCTGCTGCAAAATCCTAAACCAGCACGGAGAAAGAATAAAGGGGAATTTTTAAAAAGGCAGGAAGAATTAAGAGCAAAAGCGTAGGGGAAACAAACAGGAGTTAAACTTGTGCAGCTCGCATCTTACACCAAAGCTTGGAGTGAAAAAAAAATAAAAAGTGCACAGTGTCAAGGGCAAAGACTCGTTACTAGGAGTGTACATAGCTGGGAGCTTCAGGAGGGAAATGCAATAGGCAGTTTGGGCTTCGGCTGGAGTGAAACGGGCCCATCAGTGCTCAGTGATTCAGATCGTTTTGTCTGATAAGCACCCGTGGGTGTGTGCTGGAGACACTGCAGTTTGTGTGTGCCCTGTTATTTTCAGTATATTGACCTAACATCAATGTATTGCAGACAGTTAAGATACTTAGAGATTTGCAGAATGATGAGATTTAATCTTTTCAGTGCCCCAATTCTAGCTAGAAAGGCATGTGTGGGAGCAACTCGCTTTCCAAAAAAATACCATGGATTGTGTTATTAAGGTTTAAGTTAAGATTTTAGTTATCCAAAGTGGACTTATTTTGCTAGAGAAATGGTCATTTCTCTGCTTGGCTACCAGAGTGTGTGCCCTTGAAAGATTAATGTTTGCCCAAGGAATTTGCACGTTCCTCAGCTGGAGATAGTTTTCAGCAGAGCTCACACTGATAAAGCCAGTGAGGATTTTTTCTCCAAGAAGCTGACCTGCTAATGGCTGTAGTGGTAAATCATATTACCTGGTTAACACTGTTCTTAAAATGTTAATTAAAAGGGCTTTTTATTTATGGAAAGTAAAAAATATATATACACGTATACTACAGCAAAACTGCTGGTGCTGGATGGTGAGCACCTGTGTTCTATTTAGGCTTCGTGAAAAAACTGGACAAACCTTTTTAACGAGCAAGTGAGAGATATCACCCTATCAAGATCGCAGTAATTAGCAATTTACTAAAAATACCCCAATGTGGGTAATAATCCCTCATCCAGTGATCTGAAGGATCTTGTGAACTGCCTGGTTTCGGTGAAGAAACCAAGGAGCCTGAGCTACATGGTCTGCCTGAAGTCACACAGTAACTGCAGCCTGATGCTCAACGCCCAGGAGGCAGATTTACTGTGAAGTTTATTGTACCTTCTGTATGGTTTGCTCTTGAGCGTAGCATTTAGTTAGCAAAAAGGTATTTACTGCTCACAGGAAGGATACATGATTACTCAGCAACTTGCATCAGTGCATGTTTTTACTGTTCGTTTCAGCCATTGCTTTTGGCAAGTCAATAAAAAAAGCTCCCATCGCTCACAGGTTCAGCCCCAGCATTTGTCAAATCTATTAGAAGACAGATTCTGTCATTTACAGCACTTTTCATCTTGTGTAGCCCTAAACACCAGCAGCTGGATTGAGATTGCCTTTTCAGAGTTCACGAGGGACTTTTAGTGCTGTCAGATCTAAGCAAGACTTAAAAACTATTTCTCAAAGCAAGATTTATTGGAGGGCTAGCATCTGGTGACAAATGCTAGAGGAATAACAAACTCCTTTGTATTGCGGTGTTTCTTGACCTGCCTGTTTATTAATGTTCATCTTTCCTCATAACTCAAAAGCACAGCTTTGTGCTTCTGATGCACCCTTATGGAAACAAAATGCTGCTGCTTCTCCACATCAGAAACATCCACTTGTTAAATGTTCGTGTGGAAGGTACCAACAACTACATTGCATTGTTTTCCTGCTCTCCCTATTCAAACCTAAGTAACAAATCTCTCCCAGCTCCACAAAAGAACTGACATATCTTCCAGGAGTTAAAAGATGACATATTTATATTTTTTTCTTCATTTTCCATTTAAAAGCTCTGACTTCTGTCATGGACACTGTGATAAACAAAGTCTCGAGTTTCTATAAGTTTTGAATAATAGTTTATTATATGGTAAAAGCAAGCAGCCGGCTGGGTGACAGAAATGGGACCAGTTTCCCAAATCTGCACACCTCTACTATAGAGTACACTTAGTATTTATCTTAGCTACTTCATGCATATTAATTATATCATATACATATACATTCTACAGGTTTTTGCTAAGTATTTAATATATGGGTTTTCTTACAGCTAAAGCTAAAAGGGTCATCTCTACAACCAGTCATAATTCATGCATTCTCGGATGAACAGGCACCTAAAGATTTAAAGTTCTACTATATTTTATTCTTAGGATAGTAAGGAGGTTTTAGGCTTCTTGACCTTGTAAGGGTCTGTTTTATTTCTTTATGGGGGTGTAATTAAGTTTTACAATCTGTTTGTTTTATTTTGATGTAATCACCCATTTGTTTCATGAATCACAATTATTTATATATCACAGACACTATGCAAGGGTTGGTAGCTACTGCCATCTCTGTGCAAATCCAAAATGCAAGTGAGGGACTGGTCTGCCACACGTGCTGGAAGTTGACTAATGCTAGCAATTCCAGGTTTTCCCTGAATCTTTTCCAGTCCCAGTGCACTGCAACAAAAACTGCAAAACAGACACTTTCTAGCTGCCCTTACTGAGGCAAAAGTCACAATGCATTTAAGAAGCGTTTTTGCAAGATTGCAGATTTGGAATCTGGAAGCCAGTTAAATCCGCTCCCTTGTTTGTACTTACCAGCTTCCCCTACACACTTTTAGACATTTGCGCCAGGTTTCCCACAAGCAAGAACTGAGCCTAATGGGACACAGGCACTGAGGAACCAGAGGACAGTCCTTTGGGTAGCCTGTCCCCTTCCCAACAGGACTGCTTCCTGCCTGTCATCTGGACATGGCCTGAGCAGCCATTCCCACCCTCCTAGACTCCAGTGACTGTATTTAGGAGACAAAGCTGAATCGGATCTTCTCAAACCAGCTAATAGGATTGTTGTGCTTCACCAGTCTTGAAGTCTCTCTTGTTCTGTGAATATCTTACTGGGAATAATTCATCAAAATGATACCCTAGATCTAATCACAATTAATCCCTCTGCATAACACATGCACATAGTGAAAACTTCCATTATCTCTGTGTTCTTACATCAGTATCAGCCAGAATTGTATCACTGCATCACTTCAGTTCTGACTAGTGCACTGCTGTGTCTCTTAATGGGCTGCAATATTGCTGCTTTCCAGGTTTCCAATTTGTATGGGAATCAAATTTGTATTTGTATCAGTGTGTATCAATATTAGGCATAATATTCCTCTATCAATCTCTTCAGTGATACAGTCACAGACTCCACTCTGCTACAGGTGCAAGTATCACAACATTTAAAAAAAATAATAATAAACAACCCCCAAAACATTAATCAAACTGTTCAGAATTCCCACCTGTTCCATGTTGATGGCTATCAGTCATACTCACATGTTTCTGTAAGCATCTCCCAAAGTAATCTATCATCTGGAAACTTCTCTGAAGCAGTTAATTCTAAAGTGAGTCACCTAAAATACTTAGGGAAATAAAACTTACATTGTAACCAGAACCTGATTCAAGAAAATAACATTATTCCCCATCAGGAACTGAGAAGAGCAGACTTGTATCAGGAGAAACCATCATAACCTGAATTTTAAAACCTTGTTACAAGTAATTTTCAGCCAACTTGTTCTACAAATAACCTGCAGATCTATCCAACTTATACCCCCAAATTAATCATGTTCTTTTCAAAAGATGATACCGTGGCACCAGAGCCCTCTCTTGGGCCAGTATTCCAACACAGTTTGCAGGGAGATTCGCTGCAAAGCTGAACACTGCTACAAGGTTTTGCAAATTCCTCACACTATGGAATTGGGGGTGTGGTTTGGGGCAGCAGCATCACACACTGGGGTCTCTGGATGCCCCTGTACAAAATACAGAGTAAGGAGCCCCCAGTCCTAATCTTTGTGGGAAACAAGCAGATCCCAACTCAGAAGTGAGACTGAGATCCAACTCCTTAATTGTGTAACAAGATAAGCAAGTCTTCTTCAACACGCTTATAAAACCCTAATAACAGAGTTGAATTGTTTGTAGTAATTACTGAGCAATTCATTATGAGCTAGCAAATAAGTTTAAAAAACCCATCTTGTTGGTCACTACCAGGAACTTTGTCAACAGAAAGAAATAAATTAATCAAAAATTACCCCATATGAATTATCTGAGTAACCCTGGTTAATATATAACCTCTTTCCAATTTTAATAGCTGCTGTCCAGCTCTCTCACACAAAATGCCAGCCACTGCATGTGCAATAAATATTAATGGTTCATAAATTAAAGAGCATTATTCTTCTTGACATAACAGCATTTTGCAAGGCCCCACGGAAAAGGTACAAGCGGTTTGTTGAGCAAGCTCTGATAGAAGAAAAATATGTCTTGGTTTTCGCTTTTAAAAGCATTTGTCAGGATTTATAGGGTATATCCAGAAGGCAATTAAGGCAACATTTTACAGAAAGCTACCATATGCCCCCAAATAACAAAGAGCAATAAAAGGAAAGTGTGATCTGTGAAAACAATTTGATTTATAGAATTACATTTATAAAACGTAGATACTTTTATCCTAAACAATTTGTATAGGAGGAGCTGATGCGATATAGATAACCCAGAATCTTCCCAAGCAAACTGTGTTGGTCATATTGTAGCAGTACATTGCTACCAGGGCTTGGTTTTAGGGTGATGTCCCCTCTCAAATCCCACATCTGAGAGGACATCAGCACAGACACAAGCCAGGCCAAGGTGACACACTGCGTGCCTACTGGCACACAGGCATCACTGCTAAGGGAATTTCAAGGCCAGCCTAGGAGGCACTCCATGGAGCTGCCCTGCTGGGGTTACAAGGAACTTTGCTCATCCCTGGTAAAGAACATAAGAAAAGGTGAAGCAGGAGGATGAGAATGACTGGTATCATCCTCAGGCAGAAACAAGAGTTAACAGCTTCACAGCCTCGCTGGGCAGGCTTGGAAGGGTCTTAAAAATGCAGAATGACAGTGGATAGAGGGGATGAAAGCAAGTCAGCAAAGAGATGCAAGAAGAGTGATAAAGTGCTTAAATTACAAGGCAAGAAATGAGTATCACTAGCAGCATTTTGAACAAATAGAAATAGTGTGAGTGTCCTCCTAAGTAACTCCAGACATGAGGGGGTGAAAGTTGGGATAGAATTTCAGTTGTGCAGACACAGAGATGCTGCTGCACAAAACAGAAGAGCAAAGTATAGCTGCCCTGGAATTAGGATGTGAGGATGAGGGACACGCTGAAACAACACTCACATTTGCAGGCTGGGCTATGGCAAAGACACTGCGTGATCTTGTCTTCAGTGCCTGGAAAAGAAAAAAAATGAGAGAGAAAGTGATCTTTAGGTCACTAGAAAACAGCAAATGACTGAATTTTTTTAATCAAATTTCCACAAAAAATTGTCCAAAATGCTACAGCCTTAGCTTGCATTTGCTAAGTGTAGAAAGGTCCCTGAATCCGAGTCCATATAAGAGACTTCCAGAGAGAGCACATCACAGGAAAAAAAGTAAATGTAGTTACATCTCTGGCAAAGGTTTGACACTTCTGAAGGTGTTTCAGTCCAGATATAAGGATGAACTGGAAAGTATCTACATTAAAACAGTAGAAAGCAGTTCATTAAGCTTTAGGATGAAAGATGACTGGATTGTGAGAGAAATGGACGGAAGGATGGCTGGTTTATTTTAAGGTATAGGAGATTACAATGAGATCACATTTTCTGTGAGGAGCCTGCAAAATTATACTTCTTAAGAAAAAAGGTTTGGAAGGAATTGTTAAGGGATAAGCCTGAAGGACTGGGAAGAACATAAAATGTGCTAAAGTGGGTTTTTTAGTCACTCAAAAGGTAAGCTTAGAGTTGCTAAAGTAAAGAGGAGGGAGGTTTCTGGTGGTGCAAGTAGAAACTTAGCAACTCAGTCTAGGAAAATGCTGAGTTCTCTGCAACTGTCTGTTGTTCAGCAAGGACCAAACTAGGTCCCTGGAGAAGGACCAAGTCACCTGCAAATAAGTTTAATGCAGACAGTTTATAAGCTCTCTGAGGTGGAACTTGAGCTGGTCGAGAAGGCTGTGGTATCAGCTCATACAGAGTAATACAAATAGGCAAATACTGATTTTTTTTCTCCCTCTCTGTAGTGTACACATCATAGAGGATGGCATTTGCTTTGTCTCCCACAAATACCGATTCACTACAGACAAGCTGAGTTGGGGGATCAGCACACTTGGGAATGTGTAAGGGAAAGCAATTACCTTGGGAAAACTGAGGGGGGTATCAAGTGCAGAAATCAGAGAGGGTCAGAGAACACACAGAGGCACAGAGCTGTAGGACACCCCATATCCAAGCTGCACTCACAAGCACATGCTCCACACTAAGACACTTATGGAGAGCAATGCATTTTCCCCATCATTTGAAAGACTTCTGGGTTGCTCTGGACAGTGGAGTTCGAGGCCTCAGCCTTTCCTGGGGGTTAGTGAGAGGGTCTCAGCTGAGAAAGTATCTGTGGGGACACTACAGAGCAGAAAAGCCTTGCGCAGATAGTAATACAAAACTAAAGGATATTCACATCCTCAGGTTTTACAAAGCTATTTCTTCTGTTCATCTAAATTTTATACCATCTCAGAAACATGGAGGACTGAAAAAGATAGTGTCAGATCTCATAAAGAGAAGTAGGCTTGTTTACATAAGCCTAAATGTTAGTTATTTGGACTTGGTTTATTTTCTGCTACTCTGCTACTCTGACAGTGTCAGAGCTCTCTTAGGGGCAGTTTCTGCAGTTTTACCATGATCCCAAACTGGTTTCCAGTGCTGGTACTTTGGTATTAATTCCTTTATAAATAGAATATTCCCATTTGAATTCACTACCTGGATCAAAACAGTCACATATTCAGCATCCAAAAAATCTCTATCATTTTTTACAGTCAGCAGAAAATACAATCTTTACACTAAAAGTAAAGGATATAAAAGTGCAGAACACCTGTTTGCTACAACTTCAACTGCCTGGCTGTGAATTCATGAAACGTGGCAATATTCAGTAATTTATAGAGCAACAAAGACAAAACAGTAGGAGGTTGCACTTTCATGACCAACAAACCAATAACACAAAAGCAGGGGGGAACACAATTTGAGGTAGTCGGACCAAAAGGGACACAGATATTTCTGCTTCCTGCAGTAAATAAAACATGCTGTGTCAGCTGGAAGACAAGCACTCCAGCCATGCTGTCCATCTTAAAAGAAAGGCAGCGGTGAGGGAAGGTCATCTGCCACAGCTCCAGCAGGTTTGATGTGGAGTTTGTTCCTCAGAAGGAACATGGAGACAGGAGTTGCCCCCCACAACAGCCTTGCGGGCAGCTCAAGGGCAGAGCTCGAGGCTGGACTAGGGAGAAACAAAAACTCAAACCACCATTTGGTAAAACTACAAACAGTTGCTTCCTCATATCACAGCACCACGTTCCTAGGCTATGGACTGAAAAAGAATTAAGCTTTTCTAATGTATCCATGTTACCCTGGTAATTTCACTGTCTTTTCCTCTACACGTGCTCTGCAAATGGAAAGAAATTTTTTTCTCCACACTAGGCATTGGAGTTTTTTTATATCTAGAAGTGATTTCCATCCCATAGCCTGGGGAGAAGCCTATTGAATTTATGGGGTTTGTTCAATACACCAAAGCCAGACAGCAAGTCACAAAGGAAAGATTTCAACAGCAGCACATGCAATTTCAGCATAAAGAAAATACTGATTAATACAGTAAATTCCTTATGGTTTCTTCCAGCCAACTGGAGAGCTTGAGCCACATGGCCTGTTCCTCCACATCAGCCAGAAAGGTGCTTATTTGTCCCAGCCAAGGAATAACAAATTATCAGAGAACAACAAGCTGGCATCTTAAACTGTCCACCCTTTCCTGCAGCCAGGACTTCATCACTCTGCATATGAAATGTATTGCCCAAACTATCAAAGGGTTCACCAGACTAATCTTTATCTAGCCAGTGATTTGCAGGCAGTGGGAAACAAACAAGCAAACAAATAATGAGATCATAAATTTCCTGAAGCTATGAGAAAAGTAGGTATTGTTTGCATAGTAATTACCCTGGTTCAATTACAGTACAAATAGTCTTCAAAGGCTCTCCTTCCTCTGAGGGCAAAAATGACTAAGAAACTATGATTACCTTCCCTACTTATTTCCATGAGAGTTGAAGTATTTCCTGCAGAAGATGAAAAAGACAGTACTTAGCATGAAAACAAGACATCTATTTTCAAGAGATATGGTAAATTTTACACGCTACACGTCTAAAACCTTCTGTTCATTGCCCCTTATGTTCAATAATTTTTATCCAAAAGCTGTACCTCTTCTTAGATAGACTATCAGCTGCTCTCCAGTCACATTTTATACACCAGGTATGTTAATATAAACCTCCAGTCATTCTGCTGAGGTCCATGTTCTAAAAGTGGTCTTTATTACTTCTCCACACTATCTTAGTGCAGTTTCAAAGATGACACTGAGAGTCTCCATTTACACAGTGAGAATAAATCCCCAAGATCATAACACTATGCATTTTGAAACCTGCAGATGACTTGCCCCAAGAAATTGCACAAATAAATCACCTGAAAGCAATAACAGTGTAGGAAAATTATACAGCTGCAGACAATGTGCAATCAGCCAACGCACACTGTATATATTCCTTTGCCTTTATCACGCCTGACAAGCCTATGGTTTGAGACTGACAACAGAGACTGTCTGTGCATCAGGACCAGGGCAGAATTTATAGAAATACCTCTTGAAAGGAAGCACTCCAGATGGAGTGCCAAATCTCCATGTCAGCTCCAGACTGGTAATAATTTGTGCTCTATCTTCCTATAAAGCAACCTTTCCTTGTAAGAATATTCAAAGGGCTTTTGGAGCTGAGTGTAAATGCTTCAGCTATAGTACTTCTACTCAAATGACATAGTTCAACTATGAGGAGAACAAGCATAGATGATTCAGGATACAGCAAAGTACACAGAAGTGCCTCTTGCCTCTAAATCACCATGTTAAAAATGGTTTAGGTCAACTGGATGGCTGCCTAGTAAAATTTGCTGCTGAAACAGTTCAGTTTCTAATTCAGAGGAGCCAGATTCTGAATGTTGTCATGGATTGAGAAAATATTAACTGCATCAGTGAACGAAGTGTCAGGTTTTTCTGAATCCAGGGTATGAGAAATCACTGTCACTGTCAGTGGCACAAACCCACTATTTTTACTATCACTGTCAGCTGTGGCACTAAAAATTCAGCAGCTCAGCAGAGAGGCCAAGGACTACGTTGCACTTTCATATTCATTGCAGTGATATCTCCCAGGTATTATCCATACACCACAGAGGAACTCACAGCCCTGGTGTGTATTATAGTTAAAACCTTTGCAGGTAACAACTTTCACAACAGGTGATGCGAAAGTCCCTCTCTTCTGCTTAGGATATTTTGTAGTTCCATCTTTCAGTGGATATAGGAAGGTCTGCCTTGCCTTTGCATGCCCTGTGTGGAGTCATCCTGAATCTGAGTCTTTCCACAAGTGCAAAATGGCCTGGCAACAATCCATGTGGGAGCACAAAGGGGATTGGCCCTTTCGCAGTGCCAGCAGCAGTGGCAAGCAGGAAAGGCTTTCTGTGGCAAGTCTTTCCCTGTGCTGCTCTGAGGACGAGCAGCAAGCTCTGTTCATAGAATCTGAACAGAAGGCACGAGGAGAATAAATATTCTTGCTCTGGGTCAAGTCCTGAGAACTCACAACAGGAGGAGCAACACAGGGGAATGAGGTACCCTGCCAGTGAAGGAAAATACACACTGGGTAAATCAAAGGACCATTTAAAAAGACTCAAACCCAAACTGTTTGCAGCCATCCCGCAGAGAAGGTCAGATGGCATTTACAGGCAGCAGTAGGAATGGCCTCTGCAGCGGTAACCATTGGAGCAGAGGGAAGGAAGCAGCCTGGGACCTACAGCACAGCCCTCCCACACCTGCCACCAGGGCCCCTGTGAGCAGCTGCCCCAAAAACTGTATCCCTGTGGCTACTGACACTGGCAGGCAGCAAAGCAGGAAATTATTGGCCTCAGGACCCGAGCTCAGATTGATGTATGAAAAACACCCAGAGAAAATCACCTTATACAGCCAGAATTGGAATCGATAACTTATCAACACTACAGAGAAGGGGAAAAATCCCAGTTCTCTCTGCTCTGGTGGTTCTGCTTACTAACTAGGGCTCTTCTGTAGCAGTCAATATTTTTGAAAACTGGATGTAATTCATGCACAAGTACAATATGAATCAAGAGTGGCTAAGGAGAAAGTGA